CTGACCTCAAACTCACCTTCCTCAAACAGAAGAAACTACACTACACTAGGACAAGAAAGAGACAACATCAGAAGTAGGTAGCTTGCCCAAGATGCTGATCTGACTTGTGTGGTCATTTATAATGTTTTCCTGATTCCTTGGACCTATGCCTATCAATCAAATGTTTTCTATCATGGATATGATTCTATGCTAGTTTAAAACTCAATCCAATTGTTGTGTTGGGGCCAATTACCTATGTCTAGAACTTCTGGGTTACCTTGGTGGATTTCTGTTCTCTAAGGCTCTGATTGGATACCCCCTAGGAAATTTATTTTAGATGAGTGTTCAGTCCTGTTCTATCTATTCATGATATTACTAGATGGGATCCTCTCATCTGGCCAATTAATAATACCTGCTCTCATGCTGGCCATAGATTTAAGTTTTCTCTTAGGGTCATTCAAACACAATCAGATGAGCTAAGTCTCAATAAAAAAAATTAACCTCTCATCTATTGAAAGGAAATGCCCACAGCTGTGGGGTGTATCTACATGGTTAACACCAGGCTATGGTCATATAAGTTTAAAAGCTCCTCTATGTTCAGTTCAGTTCAGTCGCTCAGTTGTGTCCAACTCTTTGTGACCCCATGAATCGCATCATACTAAAAATGATCAACCTGGAAATTATGAGACAAGGCTGGGTGCTTTATGAACTATGCCTATTCTTACCCTTAGAGAGAGTGATTGGTATGGAACTCAGTGGATTTGTGGCACTAATTTATGGCCTTCACATCTATAGGGATGGATATGAAGGTATAGCCTGGGATTCCCATGAATTTAAGGTCATACAGTTTAACAAATTAGAGGTAACCCCAACCAGTCTACCATTGGTATGAACCCAGTGGGTCAAGGATCTGTATTCTACTGGTATGACCATTTAGCAGCTTTTGTGTGTATGTGTGTGCCTTCAATGGGGTTAGAGAATGTAATCGGCCATATTGAAGCCTTAACAACTTTCATAAGCTTTAAATGATAGTAACTGGGCTATCAGCTTGCTGAATGCTGAGATCTCTATGATGAGAAAGGCAGTGCTACACAACTATAAGGCCCTTGACACCTTACAGCATCTCAGGGAGATATCTGTGCTACAATTCAAAGTTAATGTTATATTTTCATTCCTGATAAATCCTTTCATGTAACACATTTGATGAACCATATGAAAAATCAGATTTCTGCTTTAAATCACCCACTTTCTAGTCTTGATGATCTTTTAGGAAACTGGTTTGGTGTGGGAGGCTCATGGCTTAAATATTTACTTTTAATTTCACTAATGTTATTAACTATATTATTTGTATTTTGCCTCTTTCACAAGATTATTGTTTCTTGTATTACCAAGTGTATGACTGAGCCGCCAACGAAAATAATGATGACTAGACTTGAAGCAGTTGATCAAATGTATAGCTCGATATTTGATCAACGATTGTAATAGTATAACTCTAGGTATGGGAAGATGCAACAGAAGGGAATACTTTTCTGGACCATAATTAGAAGACAGGTGTCCAGAGATCTTTGACTATTAAGACCTCGTCCAGTAATAGCACAGTGAAAACTTTCAGAACTGGGAATGAGCCTTCCCAGGGACAAAATGGTCATGAAATGCCCCCCAAAGCATGGCCGGATTTATGACCACAAGGGGGCCATGTCAACTATAAATTGGCACTTACCAAGAGCATTGCCAACGACTGACAACAAAGGCATTTGCCATCTGCCTCTACAGAGATTGAAGCCCAGGCTGCTATAGCTGTTGACCTTCAACACCCACTGAGGGAGTTCAGGGTGGAGGGAGGCACTCTGTGCTCCAGGGAATCTGGTGGGACAGCTCTTTAGATAGTTGGATGTTTTTAGGAACAGATTTTACGATCTCAATCCTTGCATCTTCTCATATCTAGAGAAGCACTAAATCCCTTCATGGTGACATCAGATCCTCATGACTAACAAAAAACCTTCTGTAAAATGAGTGCTTCATGGTATTGAATGCTTCCTTCACCAAAACCTTATATATTGACTTTCCCCCACTGCCACTTTGGAGCAGTCTCAATCTGAGAGGCTGCCTCCCGGGCTGCAGTCCTCATTTTGTCCCAAATAAAACTTAACTTACAACTCTCAAGTTGTACATCTCTTTTTAGTTGACACTGCCAATACTTGATGTTTGCAAAAACTTATGGGCCACATTGTGCAGAAAGGTTTTTCCTCCTTTCTACCGCTGACTTGAATGACAAAGTCCCCATTCCAGTTATCTATATGTGTATAACAAATCACTCCCAAATCTAAGGACTTAAAAACATCTTTATCTTGTTCATAAATCTTACGTTTGGGCAGAGCTCAGCTGGATGACTGCCACTCTGTGATGTCTGGGTTGCTCTCTGCTGCAGTAACGTGTGGTCTCACTCTGGGTCTCTCCGGGGTCGTGGACTCAGAGTAGATAAACTTACACAGTGGTTCAGGGTTCGCAGGGGTAGAGGTCCAGATCAAGGCAGAGCTGCAGGGACTTTTCTGACCTAGCCATGGCTGTCACGCAGGATCACGTCTGCTGCATTCTATTAGCCATAGAAGACCAGCCCTGACTCAGTGTGGGAGGGGAACTACACAAAGGCAAGACTATCAGGAAGCAGAGATCAACCACGAATATTTACTGGAAGAAAAGATGCTGGAGCTGATGCTGCAATACTTTGGCCACTTGATACGAAGAACAGACTCATGAGAAAAGACCCTGATGCTCCTTGGAAGAAAAGCTATGACCAACCTAGACAGCATGTTAAAAGCAGAGACATTGCTTTGCCAACAAAGGTCCATCTAGTCAAAGCTATGGTTTTTCCAGGAGTCATGTATGGATGTGAGAACTGGACTATAAAGAAAGCTGAGCACCAAAGAATTGATGCTTTTCAACTGTGGTGTTGGAGACTAAACACCACAGAGAGTGGTGAGTCCCTTGGACTGCAAGGAGATCCAACCAGTCCATCCTAAAGGAAATCAGTCCTGAATATTCATTGGAAGGACTGATGCTGAAGCTGAAAACTCCAATACTTTGGCCACGTGATGTGAAGAACTCAGTCATTGGAAAAGACCCTGATGCTGGGAAAGAGTGAAGGTGGGAGGAGAAGGCGATGATAGAGGATGAGTTGGTTGGGTGGTACCACCAACTTGATGGGCATGAGTAAGCTCTGGGAGTTGGTGATGGACAGGGAAGCCTGGCATGCTGCAGTCCATGGGGTCGCAAAGAGTCGCACACAACTGAGCGACTAAACTGAACTGAGGATGTGACAAAACTGTACCCCAAAGCTTCAGCGGGTGTTCCACTAGAAAGAAGAGATCAAGACACATGTTTTCTGTGCTCCTTCCAGCCACTGTGTTGTCTTTATTAGATGGGATTAAGAGGCAGAGAGCATTGGTTTATTCCCTTCAATAGACTGGCAGCCACGTCATCCATCCTGGCTCTCAAAGAATCCGTCTTGACTCTGCACATTCAGTTTTCACATTGCATCAGAGAGGGAGGACATTCTGGATGCTGGCTTTAAAATGAGAGTAAGGCATCCAAACTACTGTGGAAGCAGCAACCATCCCGTCTCAGCTCCTAACTTCACACTAAGCGGTAAAAAAAGAAATAAATGGAGACAAACAGTGCTTTGGTTTGGGAAATAATGTTTACATGCACAGGATGCATCCACTTAAGTCTTTTAAAAACCAATTGTTCTAAGGACTTTATTGCTCTGTAACAAAATAAACCAAACTGACATTGATTCCAAGGTCACTGTGAACTGAAGTTTAACTGTATTAATAAGATGCGAGTCTGAATGCTAGGAGGAGGCTGGAGGCATCACAGTATATTGCGTTCTTGTAAACAGTAGTACATACAGAGTTAAGAGGGACTCCTCTAGTTGATGCTAAATAGGACCAAGTGCCTCTGCTTGCAGAGGGATGAAGCATTATGGATTACATTCCATTTTACATCTGCTGGGGCAAAATATCCTGCCCTAAAGAAGAATGGATTCCAATCGGGCTACTTTTCTCCTAAGATGCTGTTTCTATTTCTCCTCCATGATTCCGATTCCCTGTAAGATGGGCTCAGCCTCCAAAAGGGAGTCCTGTGGGATGGCAGGAGGAGGAACTGCCCCTAACACAGAAGAGGTCAAAGGAAGAGGAAGCTCTCACGGAGACTTTCTGCCACATTCATGTCCCCAGCTCCATCTCGGGAAAAGGATTTCATCATCGAAAGGAAAGGGCTGTATAGTCGTCAATAAGTAAGCTCTCTGCCCTACCTTCCCCCAATTGACCCACCACCTCCATGCTTCATATCCTGCATCTGGTAATAAGTGGCAGGAGGGGCTGCCTGATGGCAATTCCGGGGCAGATCAGGTCTTCAAGTTGCTGCCACATCAGCTTAGCCCTCACACCTAACACACACCACCAGGAGGTACTCTGAGGACAGAAGATTTGGCTGGACTGTAAAGTGGGGGTGGGGGTCTGTGGGGAGCACTGGCATGTTAGGGTTTAGGGAGTAGGGCTTCCTGCTGCTCTGTAGAAAGACTGCAGGCCTCTCACATGTGACGATGCTGACTGGCGGGTACTGGGGACAGGGGTCTGGAACCAGAATCACGCCTGGCTGCCTGGATCCGAGCCTCACCCTCGGGCCACCCCACAGACTGGAGCGCCCTCCAGCAGGTTAACTTACACCACGTGGACGGGGAGGGAGCTGAGTTCTGGGCGACAGCAGTGGTTACCACCTGCTGGGTACCACACTTGGCTCCACGAGCCGAAGCTCCCAGCCTCACCCCCACCTCGGGCAGCCTGGACGTGCTGTGCCACGGGCCCCCTGCCTTGAGGCTGTTCCCCCACAGTCTCAGACCCTTGAGTCTCGTCTCACTGTTTCCTGGGTAGCTGGTCAGGGCGGCAGCTCCTCTGGGTTAACACAGTGTGAGATGAGGCATCACCCCAGGGCTTGCCGACTTCAAAAGGAGGGGCCAGCAATCAGATGTTTTCTAGAACATCGAGGGGGACCAGGCCTCTCTTCTTTCCACTGAGCACTCTGATAAAGCCGTCTTGTTCTTCTTCAGAAGCCACACAGATCTGAATAAAAGGAAAGGAAAAAAAAGACACCTGTGAATAGGAAAGAAGCCAGAACCCGCGGCTTGTATCACTGCTGGCTGAGGTCAGCAGACACCAAATTGGAAAAGAGGGACTGGTTTAGGGAAATTGTGGCTTGGACAGGAAAATATTTGATAAGAAATTAGGCACCACCCTGGGTTTGGAACTAGATCCAGGCATTGAATGTTTCCTGAGATTCAGTTTCATGAATGAGGATCAGTAAAGCAGGACTGGAGGTGATGATTCTGTGTTCCCTTCACAAGTGTCCCTGTTGAGAGACCCCAGAAGGACAGAATGAGATAACGTTTATCACAGAGCCTAGCATGTGCCACTCAATGAGTCCTTGATGCATTATATTATAATCCAAAATAACAGCCACTATTTAGAAGGCTCCTGTCATATACCTGGAAGGTTATATGTAAAATATCAGGAAGTCAAAGGAAGTTATTTCATTCCTGGTCCCAAAGAAACAGATGCTAATATCTTGCATACTTTGGGGCTTCCCAGGTGGCACAGTGGCAAAGAATCTGCTTGCTAATGCATGAGACACAAGAGACATGGGTTTGATACCTGGGTTGGGAAGATACCCTGGAGAAGGAAATGGCAACCCACTCCAGTATTCTTGCCTGGAGAATCCCATGGACAGAGGAGCCTGGCAAGCTACACTCCATGGAGTCGCAAAGAGTTGGACATGACTGAGCACACACACACTCATTTCTTGCACATTTCTGACCAGGATCGCCTACACTAGACTTAAAAAGGAGGTGGTTAATATTCACTTGGGTACTTTGTCATTCACCCTTTACATGACACTGTAAAGGGCATTGTAAAGGGCATGTAAGGGCTTCCCTTGTGGCTCAACTGGTAGAGTCTGCCTGCAATGTGGGAGACCTGGGTTCAATTCCTGGGTTGGGAAGATCCCCTGGAAAAGGGAACAGCTACCCACTCCAGTATTCTGGCCTGGAGGATTCCCTGGACTGCATAGTCCACGGGGTCACAGAGTTGGACACAACTGAGCGACTTTCAAATGGAATGGAAGGGTGGGTATGTTCCAGTTGTAAGTGAGAAGTGGTTTCAAAGGGCTGTTACTGTGTTGTGAGTTTCTCCTGTTGAACTTGCTCCCAAGCATGGTAGGTTGTGTCTTAGGTTGAATTCCCTAGGAACAGAGCCCGAGATAAGAATCCTCGTGCAAGTGACCTGCTGTGGGAGGGCTCTGGGGAGGTGGGAAGTGAGGGAAATAGGATGGGGCAGAAGGCGCTGGAAAGATTGTGGGCTCAGCTGGACATGAACCTCAGCCTGATACCACAGCAAGCTCCAGAGTTTTAACTGTGTCATTGACCCCCTCTGAAGCAAGGGGTCTGGCAATTTGGACCACATGTTAGGTATTAGTCACTGCAGAGTGAGAAGCATGACCTCTCTGGGAGGCAGCTCTCTGGGTGATTCGCTGGAGAAGGGGCAGCTATGAGTTGCTAGTCATTGACACAGCAACTAGAAGATGGTGCCCCATCTAGTGAAGGCGATGCAGACAGGGCACCAACAGAAACCAATAGAGTGGGCTCTTCTTTGACACAGAATAAGGAGCTTTATAGTTATATATCAGGATACTTAGAGAGCTTGATGTGTGACTCCTGACGCTTGGGGCACACCATGGACTGGTGTCTGATTTATATTTCAGAAGTCTCCTACGTGTGGGTTAAGTCACCCCGCCCCACCCCCCGGCTCCATCCCATGTTGGGCCTGTCTGGCTAAAGTCCTACGGTCTAACTCACTTCTGAAAGCACGTACACTAAGGCTTCCCTTGCATTGCCTTCAAGCTAGTGTGTGCGTGCGTGCTCAGGCACTTCAGCCCTGTGTTCGACTCTTTGCAACCCCATGGACTGCCAGGCTCTTCTATCCATGGTATTTTCCTGGCAAGAATACTGGAGTGGGTTGCCATGCCTTCCTGCAGGGGTTCCCAACCCAGGGATCGAACCCATGTCTCCTGCGTCTTGGACATTGCAGGTGGATTCTTTATCTCTGAGCCACTGGGGAAGTCCTGCCTCCAAGCTCATAACATTTATGCTTCCACTTAGAGCAGATGAACAGTAATTTTATTTCAAAAGATTTCTTGCCTAGCACTCTTGAATTCAGTCTTCCCCTCAAAATACCTGGGAAAAGATAGGGAACTGGAGGTGGAGTAGAAGTGTTGAAATACTGAACGCCCAGACTGACAACCATTCCAGAAGCTGAAACTTCTCTAAGACCTTTGGGGGTGAGCTCAACTGATGACAGAAGCAATTGTGCTGCTGGACTAAGGATAAATTTACCAGACTAAAAGATGCCACAGACACCCTTGGTTGACATCAACAGTCATCACTGCCCTCTTCCCATGCAGCAGAGTGGGGACTTTTGTTATGTTGTTCATCTGTAGCCTGCAGGACTCAGATAAATCCTAACTGGTCCAAATGTGTTTCTGTCCTCTGTGCCAGCGATGCTCTTAGTGGTTCCCATGAGACTCGTTCTAGCCAATGAAACAGGAAGGACTATCTGCTTGGAAACTTCTGGGAAGATTTGTTTTCTTCTTGTAAGAAATGCATTGGGAAGAAAATCTCTTTTCTTCTGGCAAGGATTCTTGGAGGGCCTGCAACCCTCTGTGACCACTAGGGGAGGTCGCTAACATTTCAATGTTAGCAGAACAGAGGGATGGAGGAATCTAGATCCTTCATCCTGGGATCAAACTGCTGAATTACAAATCCAAGAACTGCCCTGTATCCAGATCTCTTATTATCTTAGTAAAACATATCTTTGGAGGTTGACTCAATTGGAGTTTAGCAACTTGAGATATGTATTGGTTTACTACTGCGATCATAAAAAATTACCATGAACTTAGTGGCTCTCAACAACACAACCTAATATATATACATACAGCTGATTCACTTTGTGGTATAGCAGAAATGAAGACAACATTGTAAAGCAACTCTACTCCAATAAAAATTAATTTAAAAAATAAAATAAAAAATATCGGGGCTACCAAAAAACCCCCAATAGTCTGGTGTCAGTTTTCTAAGTCCTATATCTGGTGGGCTTGGCTAGTTTTCTCTGCTCTGGGTTTCACAAGGCCAACATCAAGGAGTCAGTAGGTCCTACCCCCTTTCCTTCTCTCCCATTTCTCTAGGAGAGAATCTGGTCCCAGGCTCGTTTAGGTTGTTGCTGAATTCAGTTACTCGTCATTGTAGGCCTGAGGTTCCGCTTTCCTTGCTGGCTGCCAGCCCTGGGTCACTCTCAGTTTCTAGAGGCCAGCTGAATTCCCTGACTTGAGGCCCCTTCCTACGTCTCCAGCCAGCAAGGGCGGGCTGAGCCCTTGCCTCATTTACTCTCTCTCTACCTACCCTTCTGCGTCATCTCTCTTCTACCCTCTTTTGCTGCATCTCTCTGGCTCCCGGAAGCTACATTTCACTGCCTTTAAGGACCCGAGTAATTAGATTTGGCCAATTTAGACAGTCCAGGCTACCCCCTGCCACAGGGTCCATAACCTGTGACATAATTACATCTGCCAAGTTGCTTTTGCACATGAAATAAATCCAGACTGGTTTCCTTGGTTGCTGTAACAAATTATAGTAAGTTACCTAAATACAAACCAATTCCATTTCAAGACATGTCTGTAAGTCCAAGTTGTTCATAAGTCCAACAAAGTTAGCCAAGTTACCCAACTAACAGTCAGTTATATATACTATACTGTAAAAGGTTTATAATATTGGGTTAGATAAAATGTACCTTCAGTTTTTAAGTGAAAATAAAAGACAGTTTTCATTTTCACCAAGAACTTTATTGAACAATATCTTCACTGTTTTGTTTTACTACCTTCTGCCTCCATCTTCTCAAAACTTTTTATCTTTTTGAGCAAAGAACTATTCCAGGTGCCTTTTATAGTCTTCCCATGAACTGAACTTTTTTTCCATTAAGAGAATCTTATAAAGACTGAAATAAATAGACATCTGAAGGTGCGGTATCTTGTGAATACAGCAGATGAATCAGAATTTTCCAGCCAAGTTGTGGCAGTTTTTGCCTGGTTATCAAAGAAATATGCAGTCTTGCATTATCCTGTTGGGAGACTATGAGTTTCCTGCTGACTAACTTCAGATGCTTTTCATCAAGTGCTGCTTTCAGTACTTGGACTTCATTGTTCCTTTTTCTTGGAGGCGCTCGCAACACAGGAGTCTCTTCCAACCCGCCATATAGAAAACATCACCTTCTTTGAATGAAGAGCAGCCTTAGGGTGTGGTTGGTGGTGGTTCACTGTCTCTTCCATTCTACATTATTGTACAGTATCCACTTCACTGCTCATCACAATTTGTTAATGGAACATTTTTGTTACGTTTAAGAAGAGAATCATATGTGGAAATGTGGTCAAGAAGGTTTTTTCACTTAACTTATGTGGAACCCAAATATCAAAGTGATGAACATAACCAAGCTGGTGCAAATGATTTTCAATGCTCAATTTGGATATTTTGTGTATGCTGGCTATCTTCCAAGTGGTGTAACATTGACTGTTCTCAATTAACATCTCGATCTGATCACTATCAACTGCAACTCGTCTACCGGACTGTGGAGCATTGTCTAGTGAGGTATCTCTAGGACGAAACTTTGCAAACCACTTTTGGCACTATTGATCAGTCACAGCATCTTCTCCATACAGTGCACAAATCTTTTTCTGCATTTCAGTTGTGTTTTTATCTTTCTTGAAATAATAAAGCATAGTATGCTGAGAACATTGCTTTTTACTTCCATCTTCAATACAAAAATGTTACACAAAAATTCACCAATTTTGATTTTTTTAAATGCATGCTGACATGACAGATGTCACACTATACAATCTAACAAAATTGTTTTGAATGAAGTTAAAGACAACTAAGTACTACTAGAGCCAACTTATGAAAAAAACAAAAGGAACTTTTGGGCCAACCCAATACTTGGCAAGCAAATAACACATAAAAAAGAAATAC